GTTGGCAATCCCCCCCTCTGGGAATGACCGCTGCCCTGTGCAGTCGATGACCCCCGGGGGATGCGCGCAGTTTTTTGGACGCGGGGAGGTGTCTGCCAGCTCCCGACCACTGTGCGCTCGCGAAGAAGACCTGCGCGGGCTGCGGAGGAATCCGAGAAGGAGGCGGAGGAGGAAGAGACGGAGGAGAAGGATAAGGAGGAGGAACAGCAGGTGGAGGAAAGGGGGATGAGGAGGGGAGGAGGTGGAGGAAAAGGAGGATGATGAGGAGGAGCAGAGGGAGCAGGAGGAGGAGGAGGAAGAGGAGAAGGAGGAGGAGAAGGTGGAGGAGGACATGGAGGAGGACAGGAAGGAGGACAGGGAGGAGCAGGAGGGGGAGGAGGCAGAGGAAGAGGAGGAGGAGGAGGAGGAGGAAGAAGAAGAAGAAAAAGAAGAGGAGGAGGAGGAGGAGGAGGCGCGCGATCGAATAATCTTCGCAACCCAGAGGACCCGCCGCAGCAGCCCACCCTGGGCCCCGGCGAGACTCCGGCCCCAGCCGCCGGGGGGCCCGCCGCGGCCGCCGACGGAGCGGCAGGCGCTTCCGAGCAGGACCCTTCTCTGGGCCTCGGCGGCGCCGCGGGCAGGCGAAGGAAGACTGCCGACAGTGGACTGCGGTCGGCAACGACGACGCCGCCGACGACGACGACGACATCTATCGCACCACGTACATTGCACCGCGTAGATTGCGCAGCGTAGAGTGCACCACGTAGATTGCCCAACTTATATCGCACAACATATATTGCGAACCACCTAGATGGCACTACGTATACGCGTCATTCGCTACGCTTCCCTCGTGTGTTCTTTTGCCGCGCCGCCATTGCGCTCCAATTAAGGGTTGGCGGCGCCACTGTATTGACATCGATATTGTTGCTCTGTGAAAAAAACGATCGCGCGCGCGCCTTTCCCTCGCCTCGGCTGGGCGCTCCCGCCTATCATAGCAGACACGACAGTCTACTACATTGGCTGACCGAATCATCCTGCGAACACGCCATGCTTTGATGTACATCCTGTTTGAAATTTAATTTGGGATCGCTACTAAACTATTACGTACCAGAAAATTCGTCACAATAGCTTATCGACAGGATCAAGGGAATACCCGAACCCATGACGAATAGGTACAATACTGGCTATCAGCCGAAATCTTCATCACGCGATCACGAAGCTGTGCTTCCTGTCTCGAAAGTGGATGTACCAAAGTATGAAAACCGATGCCACGGCCCATAAGGAATCTCACATATCGCTTGCGAGACCGAGGCCCCTGGCTGCGTCAGGGGCTCCGACTCGCGTTCTGCACAGAATCTCCGCGAGAGTTTCTCGCTGTCGTCGCCAGAGTTGGTTTCACCCCGCAACTGCCACGAGGCGGCCCCAAAGCGGCATCTTCTGAACCCCTAGCTACTTTTTCGGCCTCCGGCCGAGGGCGTCTACGGCATAGGCAACGTGTCGCCATCAACCGCAACAACTCGTTGTCGTCGCGAGATAAGCGGGCTGACGAAAACCCCGGCCGCCGTGACACTCCACGGACGGGCGCAGACAGGGTGGCTGCCCGGGCCAGGCGCTCCCGCGCATCGCGGCATGCCCACGACACTGTTGTATATGTGCCTATCGGATAACCCTACGAACGCGCCGCGGTTTCATGCGCATCCCCTCGGAGACTTAGCTTGGACCGCTACTAAAAGATGGCTTACCAGAAAACTGAGAGCAAGAGTCTATCAACGGGATCAAGATCATGCCCGAATCCATGTTGGACCGGCGCAACAAATCCTATTTTTCCGTGCGTTAATATACGTGTATAATTACACATGTATGAATATTGCACAACATACACTGAATTTCGCAAAGTACAAAACGTATGCTGCACCACATACATTGCACTACATAGTGTGTTCGTCGGTTTCGTAAATAGGGCATGCGTCATACAGTTTTTCCTTTTTGGCGGCGTTGGTGTCCAATGGCGCGCACGGGGCATGCTTTGCATTCTTCTTAAAACGGTGCCATCTGTTCGCGAGGCATACGCAATGAACTTTGGCAAGCGTACTGTTAAACATAATTTGGGCCTGACACGGTTGGGCCTTACACGTCTGGGCCGTAACACAATTGGGTCCATGTTTGTTTTTTTCTGCGATTTTCCGAACAAGCTCAGGACGCATCACAATCTTTTCGGCAAGTTGTCAAACGGTTTTTCTTTCATGAAGTTCGCGGCCGGAGTGTCTGAGCAACTGATGGTTTAGAACGGTTCTCGCGTAAATTGCGTGGAAAATAGTTGGGCGAACGGATTGCCCGCATTGACTCGATTTGACTGTTTTTACGTATCGTTTTGGTGAGAGTGACACATGCACATCGCATAAATGCGTATTGGAAAAGATTGCGCCAGGGTTTGATGGTGTTGCGGCCCGCTGGGTATTTTTGTACGGAAAGTGCGCACCTGTGACCCGCATTGTGTTATTTGCAATGGGCGTGCCTTGGGCATGACGCGATTCTATCGGGCTTTGGAAGGGCGGGTATAAGTTCTATAATGTAAGGCCGATGGGAAATCATGCAACGAGCAGGGGCACGTTCAACATTGCTTTTGCTATCCCGCGCACGTGTTAACATGGACAGTGCGAACCGAACATGGACAATACGAATATTGGCCGCGAATCAGAGCAAACCGAACATCGGCGCTAATCTTCATGCAAATCCGACCAAGGATGTGGGAATGAACGTCGTGGAAGCCGGATAAGACGGCACCTCTTCCATGGGGCGGTCGGACAGCGGGGCCAAATATTGCCTAAAAGGGTATGGAGATAGGTCGATCGATGCTTACTGTGATTTCCGCGACATATCGCGAGGGGCAGACGTCATGCAATGCCTTGGGGGGCAGGGTTTCATATGTTAGTGTTGTGGCGGCGCCGGGGACAACACACACTTTTCCGTCGCGGCCCATTGGTCAACCGCAGCGAGCTCTAGGGCGCGACACGACAAGATCAATTCCACCAGGCGCTGTAGGCGGATAGGACAAAGCAAGCACACACATGATCGAGCGCAGCGGGCGTTCCGCAGCTCGTCCCGGGAGAGAAGGAGTTGTATCAATGACACGCTGCCGTCGGGAGCCAGTCAGAGTGTTTCTCCTCGTCTTTGTCCGAGGGAGTTGCGCTTTCCTTTCCTCAACGATAACACGCTGATGGGTCTCCCATGGAGGCGGCGTGTCATTGCTTTTCAGCTTGATCGCCAACTGCTTGCTCCTGGGGGGGGCAGGGCGTCGGATCATACAGCAAATGTTGCGTGGGCAGGGTTGGTCCCCGATGTGTACCCAAACATTCAGATGAGGCGCGGAGGCGCAGGGCGAGACGGGGAGGGGAGGAGTGGGGAGGAGGGAGGAGCAGGAGGTACGGGGTTGATGATGGTGGTGACGAGGCTCGGGAGGATGATGGCACGCAGGGTAAAGAGGATGAGAAGGAGCAGGAAGGGGAGGAGTATGAGGAGGATGAGGAAGAAGAGGAGGTGGAGGAGGAGGAGATGATGTTGATGCTGATGGCGACGACCATGATGATGCTGATGATGATGATGATGATGATTATGACGATGGTGATGACGATGCTGATGTTTATGCCGATGACGATAACGATGATAGTGATGCGGATAATGATGTTGGTGTTGTTGCAGCTGATGGTGATGACGACGAGGGTCATGATGATCATACTGTTGTTGAAGATGATGTTTTTTGTGGTGTTGATAGTGATAATGGTGATGATGATGATGATGAGTATGCTGATGTTGATGATGATGGTGATGATGATCATGATCATGCTCGTGATCATGATGATTAGGATGGTGACGATGATGATACTGATGATTGGAGTGTTGCTGATGATGGTGACAATGATGACGATTGTGATGATGCTGTCAGTGGTGGCGACGATGGTGACGATGGTGACGATCGTGATGGTGATGGCGATGGTGATGATGATGATGATGATGATGATGATGTTGATGATGATGTTGGTGATGCTAATGATGCTGATGATGATGATACTCATGCGCATGAGGATGGAGATGAGGTTGCTGATGATGTTGAGGATGATGAGGATGGAGATGAGGTTGCTGATGATGATGATGATGATGTTGCGGATGAGGATGATGATGATGTTGATTGTTATGATGATGTTGCTGATGATATGGATGATGATACATATGATGATGATGCTGATGATGATGCTGATGATGATGATGATGGTGGTGGTGGTGGTGTGGTGATGATGATGATGATGATGATGGTGGTGGTGGTGGTGATGATGATTATGCTTCTGCTGCTAATGATGATGATGATGGTGATGATGATGATGATGATGATGATGATGATGATGATGATGATGATGATGATGATGATGATGATGGTAGTGGTGGTGATGATGATGAGGAGGGGAGGAGGAGGAGAAGGAGGAAGAGGAGGAGGAGGAGGAGGAGGAGGAGGAGGTAGTGGGATGACGGAGGGAGGGATGAAGGTACGATGGCGGGTAACAGGCATAAGTAATCTGGAGGAGGGTTGAGGGAGGAGGTCGAGGGGTGAGTGAGGAGTGATAAGCGAGAAAATGGAGGATCCAGAACCGAAAAGGGAGGATGGGGGGAGGAGGTAGGGAAGAGTGGCAAGGGGGGGCGTGGAGGGTAAAGGCATGAGGCAGGATGGACGCGGGAGAAGAGAAGAGAGGAGAGAGGGAGGATGCGAGGGAGGAGAGGGAGGCAAGGGAGGAGGGATTATTCCTCGCTGCAGAGCAGATCTGGATCATGTTGTGCCTACCACTTTCGTCTGCCATTTGCGCCCCCTCAGCTGCAGACAGGAGGCGACCAGCCCAGCGAAGTCAAGACAAACGCAGTGGTCTGCCCTCGCTCTGCCTGAGGTCGTGTCAGCACCGTCGCTGTGCCAGTGTCCCTCCCGATGATCACCACCACCATCTGCGCCCCTTTGCTCCCTGTGCCGTTCTGGCCCGAGGGAGTAGCGCACATGTTGAAGCCTGCTCCGTAAGAGCAGCACATGCCAGATCCGCACCACCAGTCTGGAGCGCTCGCACATTGCGAGCGTGTGCACATTGGACCCGCTGCGACGCCTCCCCGTGGCAGCCGTGGCAGTGTCGAGGTGCTGGATTTCTGCCGATGGAGTCCGCTGAACTCACCGATTTTGCCAAAGACGGTGTCAATATTGGGGGTGGCTCGTTCGGGACTGTACAGCGCGCGGTGCACAAGCCTTCTGGAACCGTGTACGCTATGAAAATCGTCCCCCGGGAAAAGATAGTCGAGCATCGAATGGAGGAGTACCTCCACAGGGAGGTCCAGACGCAGATGACGCTGGACCATCTCAGGAGTCAGTCCGGGGCTTGGTCTGACCTGCGTTCGGAAAATCCCTTTACGCCACTTAACTATTCGAGCTGCCTCAAAAATGCCGAGGCCATGGCGCTAAGGCTTAGGGCTGCGCACAGACAGCCCCCCCAGGGCCCCAGGCAGTCCCGGCTGGCCTCGACAGGCCACCCGAGTAGTCCGGGGCGGTCTCAACACATTGGCGCCGCCTCTGGCGGCGCCACTAGGGCGCTCCGCTCCCACCCCGCGTCCCAGGGGCGGGGTGTCGAGACCACCTTGGGCTACTCGGGGGGCCTGCTGAGGCCAGGAGGCAACGGCCACGGGCCGAGGTCGATGGTCCAATTTTTTCACCACCACTGCCATAGGTAGGTCGGGGGAGAAGGGAGGATGGGGAGGCCTTCCTTTTCCTCCTCCTCCTCCTCCTCCTCCTCCTCCTCTTCCTCCTCCTCCTCCTCCTCCTCCTCCTCCTCCCTCTCCTACCTATGGCGGTGATGGAAAGTCGGCCCATCAGAGGTCTCCCCGTGGTTCCCCCAGGCTCCCAGGGCTCGAAGAGCACGACAGCTGCAGAAACAGAAACCTTCGGAGCGCTGCGCGGATTTCTCGGATCGGCACCGGGCCCTCCCTGGCGGCGCCTCTGGCGCCGGGCCCCCCCTGGCACGCTCCGCGCGCCAGGGAGGGGGCTGCAGCGCCCATCCAGGAAACTCGCGCGGACCTCCGAAAGTTGACGTTTGTGTCATTGCTGGTTCCTCGGTCACCCCGCCAGACGGGGCTACGGGGCTACCTACCTTAGGAACTGTCTGTGCGCAACCCGAAGCCTTTCCAGGCCAGGGCCAGGGTCCCGGATTACCTTCTGACCGTCCCAACATTCTCAAACTCTACCGGTGCTTCGAGGTCAGCGAGAGCTTCCAGCTGCTGCTGGAATACGCGGATGGCGGATCGCTGTTCACGGTGATGCGGAGGAACGGGCGCCTCACTTCTAAAAAGGCGGCCCCCGTCTTTGCCGGGATCGCCAGCGCCCTCGACCACTTGCACCACATGGGCCTGATTCATCTCTGAAGAAGAAAAGTGGCACACACTTGAACTTTCGGACCCCGCGTCCACTGTTGGTATCGGCGCTGAGCCCCCCTGGCGGCGCTTCGGCGCAGCCCCTGGTCCGCTCCACGCTTCGGGGAGGGGGCGTCCAGCGCCGATCCGAGAACTCCGCGCGGAGGTTCGAGGGCTTCTGTTTGTGCAGCTGTTTCTTCTTCTGTCATCGAGATGTGAAGCCCGAGAACATCTTAATGTGTGGCACCGTCGCGAAGCTTGCCGATTTCGGCTGGTGCGCGCAGACCGCTGGAGTCGGCGAGACGCGCCAGACCTTCTGCGGCACGCTGGACTACCTGCCCCCCGAGATGATCAAGAACGACCCGCACGACTGCACCGTGGACGCCAGAATCCGAAATGCACCCGCGAGGCTGGGACCCCTCCCCCTCGAAACGGGGCTTCTCTTCATAGCTACCCTCATGTATAGGCTCGGAGGCGATGGCCCTGGGGGGAAGCGAGTGGCGGCAGGCCTTCTCAGAAGGCGGCGGGCCTTCTCAGAAGCCCTCGCACCTTATGAGAAGCCGTCTTTGTCTTCACAGAAGGCTTGGAAGACTTCTTAGAGGAGGCGAAGGATTCTGAGAAGCCCCGCCGCCTTCTGAGAAGGACGGGCCCTTCTGCCTTCCCCCCTGGGCCCGCCGTCGAGAAACACATCACACAGAGTTGGATCATCGCGTGTCCTGCTCGAGTCGGCCACGCGTGACTAGAGCCGCTGTCGAGTGGCGACTTGAGGCTAGAAGATACGCAGCGGACCGATCTGCGAGGGTACCGCGGGTTTCCTGCCTTCTTTGGCCGTTGTGCCCCTGCAGAGATTCTCGCTCGGTCTTGGGGGCGCCTTGCTCAGGGCGCATCGTGATAAGGTCGTCAATCCCTGCGTATTTTTATCAGCGTGGAGCATGTCCCCATCAGTTTGATTGGCATCACCGCGTTTCGGCGCCGACCGTAAGGATTCCCCGAGTTTCTGAGGGCACATCCATGTTTGTCATCGCCTCGGGCCTGTCAGTCTTTAGGGTAGGGACGAGCTCGAGGCTGGTTACACTTAGGTTCTCCCCTTGCTGACTTCACCCTTCTGCTGCTTCTGCCTCCATGGCGGAGGGCCCGGAAGGGGCCTCCGGTAACGGTCGTTCCCCCAGGGGGATTTTGCTGGAGGCTCTGGGTAGCAGAGTAACGCTCGGGCGGGGTGCGGCAAATCGGGGCGGGGGGTGCGCTGCGATCGCCATCGTATGCCCGCGAACGCCCACATGTGTGGGGGGGTCCAGCCCCCCCCCCCCTTCACACGATCGTTGCCGTTAACCTCGGGGCCCGGCCCGGGTAGCGATTGTTACGCGCCAGAGGGTTACAACGCAATCTCACCAGAGGTCCAGTTTCAAACTTCCCTGGCCGCGACCCCACGGACACAGGGCAAGCTGTCGTGCGGACGTCCGGCTCAGGAAGCATCCATGGGATCGCATATCCATGGGGATCCGCCTTTGTGTCCAGGACGCGGAGGAATGGGTGCGAATAGGTTTGGTCGTGAAAGCTCACCGGCCCTGGATTCGGTAAAAGAAGCCAGCCGTCACGATCGGTCTCGTGACGAGATTGTTTTTATTATCCACTGGCGCGTAGGGGTCGTTACACGGGCCCCCCCTGGGTAACGGTAGCGATCGCGCGTCCCCCCCCCACACGCATGCTGGTGCTCGCGGGCACACTATGGCGATCGCATCGCGCCCACATCGCCGAAGCCTTCTTGGTACCGTTGTTCCTGTCGCCGTGGAGTCAGGCAAAGGGAGTCGCCGTCACGACTTTTCTCGCGACGCCCGGGTCTGACGGGCTCTCCTCCACCCGGGTGGACCGAAAGAAATACGGAACCAAGGTGCACGAGCAGTCAATGTTGAACATGGTTCGATGTCGGAGTCGCCGCGGACGTTGTCCGTCTGAGGCGAAAGATCGCCTGCCCGACAGCGGCCGCTGTTGGTTTTCCAAAACGTTTGCTGTTGAGTATCGTGCCAATTTTCCGCACCCGTTTCGGGCGAGCAGATCCGCAGGACAATTGGGCCATGGGCGTGTTGCTGTACGAGATGCTCCTCGGGAGGGCCCCCTTCGCGGAGGGTGGGAAGACCAACCTCAGCCGTATCTTGGACGCGGACGTCGCGGAGTGGCCCGAGGGCGCGATGCCCGCGGAGGCGGAGGAGCTCATGCGGCAGCTGCTGCGGCCGGAACCTGGAGAAAGGATCCCTCGATCCTTGTTTCCCGATACTAACAGCTTGTATGTAAGAGTTTCCAGCTGCCTGCGGCAAACCCCGCCACCGTGACAGTGCAACAGCGAAGCAGGAAGGATACACAGTGTAGGAATATCGCAATTCCAACACGTTTTACGATAAGGACGGGTCGTGAACTCGAACTTATTTTATTCCGTGCGGTAGGAAGGAGGTCGAGTTCACACCCCGCGGCAGTTTAGCGAGTGGTCTGAATTCTGAGAACGGTGATCCCAACATCATCTTCGTCCGCGTGGTAGGGAGAAGGACGAGGAAGAGGAGGAGGACAAGGCGGAGGAGGAGGAGGAGGAGGAGGAGGAGGAGGAGGAGAGGAGGAGGGCGAGGAGGAGGAGGAGGAAGAGGCGGAGGAGGAGGAGGAGGAGGAGGAGGAGGAGGAGGAGGAGGATGAGGGAGTGAGGAGGAGGAGGAGGCGGAGGAGGAGGAGGAGAAGGAGGAGGAGGATGACGAGGACGAGGTGATGGAGAAAATGAGAACGAGGAGGAGAAATGCTTCTTGGGGCCTTCTTAGGGCCACCTGGGGACCTCCTGGGAGCCTCCTGGGGGGCCTGTTGGGGGCCCCTTGGGGCCTCTTGGGGGCCTCTTGGGGCCTCTTGGGCCGTCTTGGACCGTAGCAATTTTGGCTCAAGCGATCGCACTGCCTTGGCGCGCTCCCCGCGGGCGCCATGTCGAGGCCCACAGGGCTCGTGCTGTACTCGATGCTGCGTGCCTTGTGGAGGTGGCAGTTCGCGCAGCTGTGCAGGCGAACGCGCCTCGGCGGACGGTGGCGGCGGTGGCTCGCTCGGCCGTGTCGGCCGTGCTCTTCGCGAGCGCTGGCCCGCCCGATCCGCCCGCGGCCGCTGCTGACGACGGCATGGGCGGTGTGAATGGAGATCGACGGCGCGAAGCGCGCCCGCCTCCAGCGGCGGCGCGCGCGGCTCGCGGCGCGGCGGTGTGAGGCTCGCGGCCCTGCGGCTGCTGCCCCGGTCGCTGCGACGGCGACTCGCCTGGGCCGGAAGGGCGGAGGCGCCGAGGCGCCTGCTGGGGAGCTGGCGGTGGCTGCTGCTGCTGTGGCTCCTGGAGGCGCTGTGCGCGCGACCGCCACGGAGGACGAGGACGAGGATTTCGAGGACAGCTGGGCTGACGCCCTGCCGCCCCACGTGCAGCGGCGGCGCGGCAGGCGGAAGGCGGAAAGCCCCTGTGGCTGTGGCTGGCGTGGCGGCCCCCGCGGTGCCTGCGCCGGCGGCGGCGGCAGCTGGCGCTGTCGGAGCTGGCCGTGGCGGTGTCATTGGGGGGTGCGCTGGGAGCGCGGCCGCGCCGCGGGAGAGCGCTCTAGAGCTCGACCTGGTCGGCGCTTCGCGGCACGCTGCGGCGGTATGGCGTGTGCTGGGATTGCGGCCGAGCGAGGCCGCGGCGCCCCGTGGTGTGGCGGTGTTAGACGGGCCCGCGAGGACACCGCAAAGTCGGCGTGAGGCGAAAGCCGAGTCGGCGTGAGGCGGGGTGGCGCGGCGCTGCAGTAGCCGCGCCCTGTCGCCGCCTTCGCCTACGACGTGATCGTGGTGCTGGAGGGCAGCCCATCACGGCTTCCTGAGGGAAGTCGCGACGCTGTTGCTCACCGACCCCCCGGCGTTCTTCAGGCGGTGTTGGCACAGCCGTGTGGAGTGCCCCGCAGGATCTGTGGGGGCGCTCTCTGGGTCTCAGAAAACAAGCGTCTTGGGCCGTCTCGGGAAACCGATTGGCCCGTCGGGCGCCTTCGGAGGCAGTGGCATCTTGCCTGGGTGTGCTCTCGCGGTGTTCTCGTTGAGCGTCCTGGCGCGGCCCTGGCACCAGCGCGCTGGCGCCGTCGACGACCGCCTGCGGCGCAGAATGTACGTGGGCGATTCCACGTTATTATGGAGCCAGCGTCCGGCGCGGGAAGCTGGCGAGACGGCGGAGTCGGTCCGCGATGCGCGGCGGGTGGCAGCGGCTTTCGAGCACCCCGCGAGCTGGCAGCTCAACCACGGCAAGAGCGTGCCGCTCGTGAGTCGTGAGCTCGGCGGCGGCGCGGCGCCGGCTGTCGGCGCAGCAGGGCCGGCGCCAGCTTCGAGGATCTCGGCATCGTGGCGACCGCAGGCCGCCGGCGCAGCCGCGCGGTCGCGCCGAGCCGCTTGCTCGCGGCCGCGGACAGGTTCGCCCAGATCGGGTGCTTGCCAGTGGATTTCCCGCAGCGCTGCCCGCGTGGGGAAGCGGCCGGCACTGCGGCAGACACGCGGGCGACGCGCGCGGGATGCCGCCTGCTCGCGAGCTCGTCGCGGGGCGCCGCTCGGCGGCGCGGCGGAGGCAGCATTCGGCGTCGCGCCGTCTGCAAGGGCGAGTTCCGTGCCGCGGCGGAGGCAGCATTCGGGGTCGGCGGCCCCAGCTTCTGGCTGGGCCCAGCAGCGATCGCGGGCGTCGCGCCGCCGCGGCAAAGCGCTGCGGCGCGGCCGCTTCCGGGAGGACCCTTGGCGCGAGGCGGAGGGCGCCACCGCCGCGGGGCGCGGCCGTCGCCGCGGGGCCCGTCGCAGCTGCGGCGCGCAGCATGGCGGCTTCGCAGCTGGGCGCGGACGCGGCGCGCTGGCAGGGCGCCCCGTCGGCGCCAACAGGGCGGCGGCCCGCTGGCCGGGCCCTGAGGGGCACGCGAGCGGTTTTGCTCGCAGCCTGGGCGCGCCGCGAGGCGCGCGATGTCGCGGCCAGGCGCGCCGAATTTGCTCGCGCGGCAGGGGGCGTGGACTGGCGGGGCAGCCGTCGCCGCCCGGAGAGCAGGGGGCATGCGCCCGATGCCGCCGGCGCCCTCCGCGCAGTGCTCGAGCGGCAATGTCTTGCCCGCATATTAATGCAGCGCGGGAGGGCCCGCGGCGCTGGCTCTGGGACCGCTCCTGTTGTTCCCCCGTCCAGCGCGCAGCGCTCGCGGCAGATGGATTCTCGCTTGGGGTTGGCTCATTCCGGCGCCCTCCCTCAGGGCCCCCAGCTGGCGGCGCGGTGGCCGCAGTGGCTTCAGCGCGCAATGCCAGCGCCGCCGATGCCGGGGCCCGCCGTGGCCCAGCGGGACTTGCCGTAGGTTGGACGGGCGGGGCGTGCGAGCACCCCGCAGACCCGCTGTTGGCGCGCGCGGGCTGGTGCTTTTAGCTGGGGCGCCCAGCGGCCCGCGGTGCAACGCGCGCCGAGCGCCGCGGGCCTGTGGACGGACCCGAACCGCGCGACGCGCGGGGCTGACCATGCTCGGCGCGCCGTCAGCGAGGCGGGCCAGCCGAAAGAGGTCAACACGGATTCCGCATTCGCGGACAACGGCGTCGCGTCAATCCGCACGGGCGCTCCAGCGTGGGACTTGGCGCATGCGGACTTGTGGGGCACCTGGTGCTTCACTGCAAGACCAGGTTCGTCATCGCGCGCTGGGTGGAGGTGCGCCTCGACGATGATGGGGCGGCGGCTCGCGGCGTGACAGCCGAGGGCCGCCACGGCATTGCGGCAGCGGACAGGCTGGCTGACACGGCAGCCAAGGCTCGCTTGCCGGCGGCGGCCCCGCTGCAGAAGCGGCTCGCGCAGCTCGACGCCCCCAGGGCGTTGCAGTCGATGCTGGCCGCTGTCGAGATCGAGGTCCTCACGGCCAACCATGGCAGCCGTGGCCTGTAGTGGCCTCGCGTGCGTCGCCGCTGGGGCGGGCCCCCGTGCGCCGCGCGTGGCCGACGTTGCGGCTGTGGCCGCTGCGGCGGCACAGCAGGGGCGGCAGGGGAGCGCAGAGGCCCAATTGGTCGCATCCTTGCGCTGCGTCTGCAGGGCCCCGGATTGGGCGCGCCTCGCCAGTCGCCCATGCGCCGGTTGGGCGCCCATCCTGCCGCCGAAGGCGGCCGCGCTGATGGTGTCCCCACCAGCGCTGGCCGGCGGCGCTAAGGCAGCTTGGCGCGGGGTCTTGAGGCAGCGTTTGGCGGCTCGCCCGGGCCCCCAGGACTAGTGAGAGGGGGGTTTGGTGGCGCCTGCTGGGATAATTACCCAGGCGCGACGGGCTGCTTCAGTAAGTCGTAATTGGCTTCGCGACGGCTGCCCTGGGCAACCGTTGTCCCGCGCGCTCGCCGGGCGCGCGTTTCGTTTTCCTCGTTCTTCCTCCTCCCCTTCCTCTTCCTCCTGCTCATCATCATCCAGCCTTTACGCGCCTGTTTGTTACCCGTTCTCGCCGGTGGGCTCCCCTGGATGGCAATCAAGTGCAAGCACGAAGCGGCTGCTTCTGTTTTGTATAATATTTATACACGTATATATACACATATATATATATATATATATATATATATAGATTCTAGCACCCACTTATGGGGCCTGGGCTGGCTCCTCTGAAATCGGTCCCCCCCATTCCCAGCCCCTGTGTAAGGCTGTGTCGGGCCTCTGCCGCAAGTGCGTCGCAATACTTATTGTTGTGCATACGCGTGGTGGTGATGCTGCTCGCTGGCGCAAGGTTGTGCTCGTGGGCAAAATATGGCGTTCGCAGACTCGGAAGCAGTGGCGCTCGCAGTTGTGCGCAAGTTGTTGCGCTCTCACGCGCTTTGCGGTGCTGTGTTCTCAGAGGCTGTGGTACTGACAGGGTCTGGCATAGTACATACAGTAGTTCTCTATATGCGCGGTAGTGCTGATACGCAGGCACAACGTGTTGTTTTCTAACACTTCGTCGTGCTTGCCAGCAGCGGTGATACTCACAAGCGCACCCAAAGCTCACAAGCTAGTGAGGCACTGGCAGGGTCCACCTTGTCACGTTGATACACTGGTTGCCGCTGCATTGCGTTGCTCGCAGGAGCATTGCGGTGCTCCCCCAGAATACTACAGCGTTCGCAAGCTATTGCGATACTGGCAGGGTCTGGCATACGGTCGTGCTTGCGTTTGTTGCTGCTGCTGCCCGCAAGCAAACTGGTGTTCACGGACACGTCGCTGTGCGGGCACGTCGACATGTTCGCATGGTGTTGTGGTACGGGCAGGGTCTGGCACACTTTTGTGCATACGTGTTGCGACTACTGGCAAGCACACGGTGGTGCTCACAGGCACGTTTTGACGTTTTGGTGATCGCAGCTAATTCTAGGTCAAGCATACAGTTGCGCATACATATGCGGCTGCTGCCCGCAAGCGCTTAGTGAGGCAGTGGAGCTCACAGGCACGTTGAGTCGCTAGCAGCCCACTGTTACGTATTATGTTACTGGCAGGGTCCGCCATCCTGTTGTGCACAGTTTGGCCTTCGCCGGCTACTGTGGTGCTGTCAGGGCTCAGCCTCGTTCGCCTCCGCTGGTCGCAGTCACTCTGTGCTTCTTTCCCGCCTGCCATGGACCCCGCCCACTCGTGAACGTTAGCCTCCCCCCCAAAGACCTCCCCTTTAGCGGACGCTGCGGGGATGGATTTTATGTCTCTCTCTCTCTCTCTCTCTCTCTCTCTCCTCTCTTCTCTCACGATTGCCCGGCAGGGTCTTATGGTCCTTGGGTCTCTCGAGCTCTCCTCGGGCTCTTCAAGGATTCAACGCTAGCAGGTGTTGGCCCTCCAAGGGGGATGCCAGTCTTCTCGAGCCTCAGCCGAGTGAGCGCAGACTGCCGAAGCACCGACCCGACCCGACCCGACCTCATTTTCCTGGTCTTGCTGCTCTTGCTGCTGCTCGTCCTCCTCATGCCGCCGCTCGCCCTGGTCCTGCTGCCTGCTCCTCCTGCCCCTCCTGCTGCCCGCGCTGCTCCCGCCCCTCCTCGCCCCCTTGCCCCTGCCACTCGTCATTCGGCTGCTGCTGCTGCTGCTGCTGCTGCTGCTGCTGCTGCTGCTGCTGCTGCTGCTAGTTGTGCTCTTTCGAGCATCGAGCTGCGGACGGCTCTCCCTGCGCGAGGTGGCGCCTTTGTTTCCTCCTCCTCCGCCTCCTTCCTGAGGATGGCGCCTCAGCCCCGTGCTCGGGCGCGGCGCGGTGGGGTGGCCTCTGTCGCCCCCGGGCCGAGGTCGTGGCTCCAACCCCCGCAGGATCTCGCTCGCGGCGGCGATCTCGCACGGGTGGGTGGCCGCGAACTGCGGGAAGCGGCCCGGCCGTCCTGCCGCGCACGAGGCCCCCCGAGGGGATGCCGGGAGGCAGGAGGGTCGTACCGGGCGCTTCAGCGAGGGCCTCGCCTTCGAGGGATCGAGGGAGTTGGCATCTCTTCCTCGGGGATCGTTATTCCCAACCATCCTGTGGTGTTGGGTCCTCGTTTTGAAGAGACGTCGCCCCGCGTTCCTTCCTTCCCGCTGCCCCCTCCCTCCTCCCATCTTCATCATCATCGTCATCACCCATTTCGGCACACCCCTCACACGTTTCGTGGCCCCATAGGGAGCTCCACCGAAGGTCCCAGTGGGTGTGCCCGCATGCGTCCCGCACACCCATTTCGGCACACCCCTCACACGTTTCGTGGCCCCATAGGGGGCTCCACCGAAGGTCCCAGTGGGTGTGCCCGCATGCGTCCCGCACACACATTTCGGCACACCCCTCACACGTTTCGTGGCCCCATAGGGAGCTCCACCGAAGGTCCCAGTGGGTGTGCCCGCATGCGTCCCGCACACCCATTTTGGCACACCCTTCACACGTTCGTGGCCCCATAGGGAGCTCCACCGAAGGTCCCAGTGGGTGTGCCCGCATGCGTCCCGCACACCCATTTCGGCACACCCCTCACACGTTTCGTGGCCCCATAGGGAGCTCCACCGAAGGTCCCAGTGGGTGTGCCCGCATGCGTCCCGCACACCCAATTCGGCACACCCCTCACACGTTTCGTGGCCCCATAGGGAGCTCCACCGAAGGTCCCAGTGGGTGTGCCCGCATGCGTCCCGCACACCCATTTCGGCACACCCTCACACGTTTCGTGGCCCCATAGGGAGCTCCACCGAAGGTCCCAGTGGGTGTGCCCGCATGCGTCCCGCACACCCATTTCGGCACACCCCTCACACGTTTCGTGGCCCCATAGGGAGCTCCACCGAAGGTCCCACCGCAGCATGGTGTCCGCCCGCGTCCCGCACACCCATTTCGGCACACCCCTCACACGTTTCGTGGCCCCATAGGGAGCTCCACCGAAGGTCCCAGTGGGTGTGCCCGCATGCGTCCCGCACACCCATTTCGGCACACCCCTCACACGTTTCGTGGCCCCATAGGGAGCTCCACCGAAGGTCCCAGTGGGTGTGCCCGCATGCGTCCCGCACACTCATTTGGCACACCCCTCACACGTTTCGTGGCCCCATAGGGAGCTCCACCGAAGGTCCCAGTGGGTGTGCCCGCATGCGTCCCGCACACCCATTTCGGCACACCCCTCACACGTTTCGTGGCCCCATAGGGAGCTCCACCGAAGGTCCCAGTGGGTGTGCCCGCATGCGTCCCGTCGTCTCTCTGCCCAGCGGCAAGAGCCTTGCCCGCTATCAGCCAGCCAGCTAGCTCTTTTTGCTCCGCGCAGTGGACGACCCGCGCGCGTCGCTGGGACCCCTCCGGGGCGACCTGCGCGCGTCGCGGGGACTCCGCGCTGCGCTGCGCCCGCAACCTTGGACTTTTGAGTGCGCGGGCAAAGAGGGAGTAAAGGAAGGGGAGGAAGCGGGCGCGATCCTCGCCGGTGGGCGCGCCGACATTGGCGTCGCGGCGCGCGGGCGATGCCGTCGGGGAGTCCCGGGGAAGCTCCTTGCGGCGGCCACGCCCAGCGTCACGAGTACTCAGAGGCAGACATTGTCAAACTATTGACATTCATACACAATTGCGCCACGCTTTGTCATATTCGCATTCATGCACGTAGACTCGTTCGCACGCAGATTCATTCACAGTCAGACGCACGCGCGCAGATTCACCCGCGCTCAGTCTCCCTACGTACTCAGATCAATCGTTTTCGTTCGCGTTGTGTACCACGCCACTCATGTCGGCACACCCCTAGCACGGTTCGTTGCCTCATAGGGATCGCCACCGAAAAAGTGAATCACTATTGCGGTACTCACACCTGTATATGGTTGGGTCCCTCGTCAGGCTAATTTTTGTGAGGTTCTGGCAAGTTGGTTTGCATGCAGGTGGGAGGGCGTGGCGAGGGCCGAAAGGAAGTCTGGACTTCACGAAGGTCGGAACTCCATTGCACGCCTTTGTGGCCCAGCTATGTTTGAAATGGTGGCGGGGGGGGGAATGTCGTTCGAGGCAACTTGCCAGAGTCCACATACATATATTTATATATGCATCTATAGAGATGTACATACATACATACGTACATACATACATACATACATACATACAGACATACATACATACATACATACATACATACAAACATACGTACATACGTACATACATACATACATACAAACATACATACATACATACATACATACATACAAACATACATACATACATACATACATGCATGCATGCATGCATGCATGCATGCGTACATACATACATACATAGGCAGGAGGGTCGTATGGGGCGCTCCAGCGAGGGGCCTCGCCTTCGAGGGATCGAAGGAGTTGGCATCTCTTCGTCGGCGGAAGGCGGCGCAGGGCCGGCGGAAGTGAAGCCGGAAGGTTGGCGGAAGCCGACGGAAGTAACAGATGCGTTGTTTTCGGTCGAGTTCTGAACCAGGCCCCTCACGAAGGGTCCGTCTGGAAGGTGTTTGGGCCCAGTGTCCTAACAGAGAAAGAAAGTAAAGGATGCGCCCTCAAGAGACGACGAGTGGGATCCGGGGTTTGCGGAGCCTCCGCCATGGCCGCCATGTGGGTGACCTGGCCGGCCCGCTTGGCAGGGCGACCCGTTTTGTGATGCCCCTCGCCAGTGAGGAAACAGTTTTGATCGTCGATTTCGGTGTTTTCCAGCCAGCGTGTTTTCCTCGATTGGCACCAGGTCATCATATATCAATCTGGGACGCAAAGCTACCCCCAGGGAAAGGGTTGGGGACCTCTAGGGCCACGCATTGAAGAACTACATCGGAGCATGTCTGGGGAGCACAGAGAGGAGATGGGCACCCGTACCGCTACCCTTCCATCGATGCCATGGCCAGGTGCGACCCGAGATCCTGCTCCGAACGCACCCCAGGAATTGTCTGGGGCGCAGCGGTACCGGTGTTCGTTCTCCTACCTTTCGCCGCGCTCCCAGGCGTGGCATGCAGGGGGGGTTGCGGTCGTTGCAGAAGGGGCTTGTCACGGGAGGGATCGGTACGGCCGCGCACGAGAGAAGGCAGGAGGCAGGAGAAGGATTTCTAGGACCTGAAGGGCATGTTTGAAATTCCAGCCGAAGCAGCAGGGTATGTTTGCCAGCGTTAACCCCAAACAGTAAGTTGACGCACTGTGGATGTGTATGCTCGATGGTGCAACCGTGTGGTGCAAGCTATGTGTTGCAAACTATGTGTTGCAAGCTAGGTGGTGCAAGCTGCGTGGTACAAGCTATGTGGTGCAAGCTATATTGTGCAAGCTATGTGAAAGCAACATGCCGCAAGCTACGCGGTGCAAGCTACGTGGTGCAAGCTATGAGGTGCAAGCTATGTGAAAGCTGCATGCCGCAGGCTACGAGGTGCAAGCACTGTGGTGCAATTTAAAGTGGTGCAAGCTATGTGGTGCGCTCTACGTGTTCCAAAGTATGCTGTGTCCCTTACGTGCCGCAGAGTATGTGGTGCAACATTTGCTGTGCAATCTACGTGATGCAAAACTATGTGGTGCACGCTATGTGAAGCACGCTATATGTCCATCCCGCCACTGCCTGGGCTGTGGGTATAAAGTCTTTTGGTTGGTTGTTGGATTTTCGTGGTGGGCCTTTCGGGGGCCTCTCGGAGGCAGTTTTGAGGCTTCTTGGGGGCCGTTCTGATGCCTCTTGGGGCCTCTTGTATGCCTCTTGGGGGCCTCTTGGAGCCTCTTGGGGGCCTCTTGGACGCTTTGGGGGGCCTCTTGGGCGCCTGTTGGGGCCTCCTAGGGGCATCTTGGGCCGGAAGGCTCTGATTTTCGGTTCGTGTTCCCTTTCGTGGGCTCCTTTTGAGGCCGTCTTGGGGCCCTCTTGGAGGCCTCTTGGGCCGTCTTGGGGTGGTCTTGGGGGCCTCTTGGGCCGTCTTGGAGCATTAGAAAGCCGATCAGGCGAGCACCCCAAAAGCTTTCAAAACGTATAGATAACAAACATGTTCGTCCCTGGGGGTCCTCTTGGGAGGCCTCCTGGAGGCCTCTTGTGGCGTCTTGGAGGCCTCTTGGGCCATCCTGGGGCCATCTTGGGCGTCTTAGAGCGATCTTGGGGCGACGTGGGGCCCTCTTGGATCAGTTTGGGGGGCCTCTTGGAGCCGTCTGGGCTCGTGTTGGGGCCCTCCTCGGCGGGGTAGGCCGACGCGAGCGATTCTGGCAGACCCTGGCAGACCTCGGGCTGGCCCGGGAAACGATGAGTCCAGGCCCTTCCGCGACTTGGAGTTCTGGCAGCAGCAGCAGCAGCACAGCCCTCTCAGTGCCGCGTCAGCCTTCGGGCACTACACTTCGTGCCCGAGGCGCGGTGGCGGATTTGAGGCAGTTGCAGAATGCAGAATTGGGGCAATTCTTCACGCTTCGCGTGTCCTCACCAGCTCATTCAGAGATCCTGACCTTGAGAGCTGACGGGAAGAGGGACGAAGAGACACATCTAGTTAACCAAAGCGAGCAACCAAGGTGAACAGAGAGATCTTTGGGAGCAGGGGGGTAGCCTTGGGGCTCGGTGCCCTCGTAGGGCTCTTTGGAGGGGTCGTGGAGTTCTCTTGGAGCTCTTTTGGTGGGGGGTCTCGGAGCGCTCTTGGGGGCCTCTTGGGGCCCTCTTGGAGCTCTCTTGGGGCTCTCTTGGGGGCCTCGTGGTAGCCCTGGAGGGGAGGGCCTCTTGGGGCTGTCGTGGACGGTGTCGGTGAAAAGCATGAGAAGAGGGGCGTACTAACGTTTAGTCCCTCTCTCTGGGCCATCAAACTCGCATCTTGGGACGCTCTTGCCCCCCCCCCCTCTTAGGGCGCTCTTGGACGGTCTTGGGGCCGTCTTGACGCTTCAAAACCTCATCGGAAGCGAAATGGCGAGAAGGCACACATAAATCATTGATTGCCCATGGGTTTTTGAAGGATTTTGGCATCCCGGGGAGGTCCTGAGGGGTCTTTGGGGGCACCTGGAACCGTCTTGTGGCCCTCTTGCGGCGTCTTGGAGGCATGGTGGAGGTCATCTTGAGCGATCTTGGCTCTCCGGAGCCCCCTTGGAGGCGAGCATCGGATACCCTCTTGGAGCCATGTTGAGCGAAAAAGGGCCCTCTGATGGCTCGCGCCCCCCCCGTCCAGACCCCTGGGAGGGGAGGGGGAGGGTACCCCTCCCCGAAGGGAAGAGTTTTGGAAGAGGAAAGAGAGACACCGTTAACCGTTAAGACAACCTATGCCCAGAGTGCTGGTGGGATTACCGAGTGCAGATATTGCAGCCGCCAGTTCCAATGCTCGCGCAATCATCCCACCATCCCACCCACGACTCGTTTCGCAAAACTCATTCGGCTGCCATTGCGGCTGCAGCTTAGAATGTGCTGGCGCGTGTCTGCGGCCGCACTGGCGCGCGCCCGGTCACGCGCAGATTGTCCAGCTGGTTTGGCGGAGAAGATGCGACCGCGATCGTGACTACCGATGGGAACTTCTCAGCGCGTCCCAAAGGTCGCGCTGGCACGCGGGCATTTCAGCCCAGGTCGGTGACTCGAGCGGGCGCGATATCCTGGGCCGCGCTGGCGCGCGCCCGCTCACGCGCAGATCGGCCAGCTGGTTTAGCACACGTGATGCGGTGCGATGGCGCTTACTGATGGGAGCTGCCCGTCTCAAAGGTCGCGCTGGCGCCCGGGCACTCGGGTCTGGGTCGGTGATTATGGCAGGCGCGATGTCGAAAGGACGTCGACTGTGGCGCCGGCGCCGACGATGACGACGATGACGGCGGCGGCCATCATCCAAACGATAGTGTTGATAATGATGTGTATGATGCTGGTTGCGATGGCGTTGGCAACGCTGCCGGCAATTGTATCGGTTGCGCTGATGAGGAGGATAGGGAAGTGCGCGCCTGCAGACACCAACCCGTCCTGACATGATCTCGACGTGCGCGCGCTGAGGCGTGCTCGTGCGGTCCGCGTTCCAATATATGTTGACACACCTGATGGGCGCGCCTATTTGTTTTTTGAACGTTCTCGACATGCGTGCGCAAGCGGCCCTGATAGCCTTACCTGGCAGGATGGATAACAACCGCTGTGATCCTGTTTAGATTGTAGTGTGTGTGTGTGTGCGAGCAGACTGCTTGCAAAGCTTTGTTGGCACACCATTGGTTTGTATATGCTTTTGATTCGCCTGCTTATTCTGAGTTTGTGGAGCAGCATTCATTGCTTATTGACGGGTTTTGATGTGCGCGCGGCGGCACGCGCGTCTGGATTTTGCCGTATTTGCTGCACAGGGCTCTTGAAACATTATCTTTTGAGGCAAACGAGCGCGCGCAGTGTTCTAAATGTACAATACCCGCCCCTCCTGGGATGGTGCGATATCAACTGGGAAATTAGTGATGATGCAGAATCGCGTGTAGACGACCGCAGTGTCCCGGGGAGCGCGCTCCGAGAACCCCGGGGATATCGACGTGGTGCAGGCCGCCGCAGGGTCCACGAGCCTCCGGCGGGCGGGCACCGGGCGAGACCCCGGCACGTCCCCCCCCCGCCCGGCCTCGGGCCGCCCACGGGCGTGCACGCGCCCACGAGCGCCCACGAGGCGCCCGAGGGCGGGCACCCGTCGAGACCTCGGCGTGCCCTGGCCCCCCGCGCAGGGCGCCCACGAGGCGCCCACGGGCAGCCCACGGGCGGGCACCACCCGAAGGCCCGGGGCATCCGGCCAGCTGCCTCGGGAGAGCAAGCGAGGGCCCCGAGTGCGCGCTCTGTGTGGTGGGCCTGCGGTAGCGTGGGGGAGCCCGTGGGGCTCGTGAGTTTTCGGTGGGGGGATTCCGAAGGGACTCGTGAGAGAGCCGAAGGCATCTCAGACAATAGCAAAGGACAAGTGCGAAATTCGTTCGGAAACGCACGGCCCCCCTGACGAATTCCTGAGGGGCGCTTCAGAGAAATTCGCAAGGAAGCAACAGGAGTTTGAACGACCTTTTAGAACTCCTCGAATGCTTTCGAACAGAAGCCTCAGCGAATCGTGAACAGCATGCCCAGGGCCGAGCTTTCATTCCGAGTAATTTTTAACTGACGGCCCCATGGCCCAGCGAGGGCCCCCGAGTTCGAAAACGGCAGAAAGGTGTCCGTCGTGATTTTGCCACGACGCGAGCATGTCGGGAGAGATGGGCGGCGTCTTTGAGCGTGGTTCTAAGCCCTGAGGACGTTCATTGTTTTCAAGAGGTCGGTTTTTCAACATCAGTGTTGGGCGCAGCTTTTGTGACGTTTTCAGGTCCGGGTTTGGCCCGTGCCTGTCCGCTTCTTTCCGTTTACATACAGTTTTGAGCGACGCCGCTAGCCGAACGCTCACTTCCTGGGGTGCCGTTTTCCAGCAAGTTGTGGTAGGAAACGGGCACAACATGCCCACCTGCGTTTTTACGGTCAGGACCTTTGGCTGAGCGAGTCCCTCGGCCAGTTCTGGCCCACCACGTTTCGGCGCGACACGCTATTCCTTGCCCGGTCCCCCAATGTCACCGTCCCGAGCTCTTCCCAGCCTCTCGCCCCGCGGAGCGGAGCAACACGCTATCCGCCCGCATGACAGCGCGTCGCAGGGGCGGCCGCCGCCGCGACACGCTAAGCCACAGCTTCCGACCGTAAGGACAGTTAGGGCGTCGACCTTCGCTCGCCCCCGACCAGGCCCAGGGCACCAAGGGCATCGAGGCCCTCGAGCAGTCGCGGCGGGCCTCCCCGGCGAGCCTCCCCGCGCTGGCGGGCATCCCCTGCGAGGACAAGAGCGTGCTGCTCGGCTGCGGGCAGGAGGGCTGCCGGGCCGGGCCCAGCAAGGGGCCCGGGTACCCCCCTCCCCCCCCGCTCGGGGACGGCAGGGCTTCGGGTTGCGCTCAGACGGTCCCCCCAGGGCTGGCCTCAACGGGCGCCCCCGGAGTAGCCCGGGGCGGTCTCAGCACCCTGGCTCCGCTTCTGGTGCCGCCGCTGGGGCTTCGGGGCCCATGGTCGGGTCGGGCGAGCGAGAAGGATCGGGAAAGAGGGACGTACGAAGTCTGCTGCGTGCAGCTGGTTTCGACTCCACCGTGGGGCGCTCCGCGCCCCAGGGTTGAGGTGTTGGGACCAGCCTGGACTATTCGGGAGTCTTGTTGAGACCAGCAGGGACAAGCCCGGGGGCCATTTTCGGGCCGCGTGGCCATGAGAGGAAAGCCTTGGACGCAAAAACGGCCGCTGGGGAAGGAGTTGCGAACTTTCGGAGGCTGTCTGGGCCCCCCCAGATTCAAGCATCCCGAGCTCTTTCGTGGCTAACCAAACATGGTTTAATTATGCATCGAGCCCCTCCCAGCGACGCAGAAAGATCGAGACGGCTTTCGTTTTGTCGTTGTCGGCATCTAGGAGCTGTTTTCCAGCCTTGGTCCGTCCATTAAAAACTCGGGGTGAAAAGCCAGCTCCAGGGCAGGGGTCGAGATTCTAGGAGCCGACGTCGCCAGCAAAAAGTGCAACGTCGGGGGATAGGACCCAACGTCTCGGAAGATTCAAGGCGCACCGTGTTCGTAGCCTCCAATTTTTTGGGGGCCGGCTTCGGGTTCCAGGCGATCCCAGGCCCAGGATCGGTGCGCACGCTTTTCTGGCCAAGCCGGGAGGGCGTGCACGCGGATCTTGGGCCAGGATTGGGGGAACGAAAAGTGGTATAAACAGAAAGACTCGGAGGTCCGCGCGGACCTCCGACTTTTCATGTTTATGTCATTCTTCGCTCCCCTAAGTAAAGATGTGCCTGGCTAAGCTCGGCGCAGGTGCCTCGGCTACGCCTGGGGCCACCGGTGCGCACCACCACCGTGCGGGGGCTATGTTTGGGCCCTGGAACGGTGCACCTGGCCCACCTGGCCGAGCCGCGAGTGCCCACACACCTTCCTGGGCCCAGGGTTAAGTCGGGCGTGTCCCTCCCTCTACAGGAGGAATATTCAAAAATAGTAAAAAGTAGTTCGGGGACGATCTTTAAAGTGTTGTTGACCATTTGGGAATATGTTTGGAGTATTTTACCTAACAGCGAAGACTGATAGGTTTCTAGTTGACTCAAAAGAGCTCACAGATCACTCCACAGGGGGGTCCGGGCAGGTGTTGGGGCGTTTCCGGGCGGCATGAGCCGGGCTCGTTTTTCACCAACAGTCACACACTTCGTGCTCTTCGCCTTCCCAGAACTCCATTCCCAGGCCACATTCTGGGGGGCCGGATGCAACAGTCACACACAAAGTGCTCTTCGACATCCCAGAACGCCATTCCCGGGCCACATTCTGGGGGGCCGGATGCAACAGTCACACACTTCGTGCTCTTCGAGTTCCCAGAACGCCATTCCCGGGCCACATTTTGGATGCCCGGAGCCAACTGTAGGCCACTTCGTGCTCTTCTATTTCCCAGAACTCCATTCCCGGGCCACATTTTGAATGCCCGGAGCCAACTGTAGGCCACTTCGTGCTCTTCGAGTTCCCAGAACTCCATTCCCGGGCCACATTTTGAATGCCCGGAGCCAACTGTAGGCCACTTCGTGCTCTTCGAGTTCCCAAAACTCCCATTCCTGGGCTACCAGGAGGAGGAGGGGAGGGGGAGGACTACCAGGAGGAGGAGGAGGAGGAGGAGGAGGAGGAGGAGGAGGAGGAGGAAGAGGAGGAGGAGGACGAGGAGGAGGAGGAGGAGGAGGAGGAGGACATTGCCGGGCAACATTTTGAATAGCCAGACGCTTCATATTCCTTCCGCCACAGCTGTGTTTGGTTCAGGACTTGCTAGTGACACTGCAGTCCTCTGCATTCAATTGGCCACTACATTCATTCACTGCAGTCCACTGAGTTTTGATTGCAATGGCGTTCCCCTGGCCGTACCCCCATGTCCAACGTTCATCCGCAGCCTCTGCTCCGCGAGGCTCGTCCGAAGTGTCGCCGCCTCGCGGTGCTTCTCAGCCTGCGCCGCCTCGCGGTGCTTCTCAGCCTGCGGAGGAAGGTGGACAGACGCCTGGTTCTGGCGCTGTGCAGCCTGCGTCTTTCACGGTCGCCTCGTTCAATTTCGGGTTCGAGCAGGGCATGATGACTGGTAAGCAGGCGGCCACTCACTGCGCTAACTTCGGAAGGTTGTGCGCCAAGATAGTGGAGACCGCTGATGCTGATATGGTCTGTGGCTGCGAGGTCGGTGCGTTCCGTGAAGGCTTTCGCCGAGCAGGGATCAACGTGACAGAGATCCTCAGTAAGCCTTTCGGTGATGGCATTCGCTTCTTGGAGGTCGACAACTACTTGACTCTCTGGGGGTTCCGCGGTGCTTCTCAGCCTGCGGAACTGACTCTGTGCGAAGACAGCAAAGTTTACAGGCCTCCTAGCGGCCGAGATATTGATGCTGTTATTTCACATTTTGAGGTGAACAAACCAGGCCATGACAAGTTCCACGTGGTGATCGCCAACATGCACATCGTGTGCGGCAAGAAACCGCCGAGCATCCAGACTCGAAAGCGGACAGTTCGCCATCTCCGCTTGCACCTGGACGGCCTGGCCAAGATTCTTGAGAATCTAAACGAGGCAGTCGTTGTGCTTGTAGTCGGCGACGACAACCTCACTTTCCAGGAGGCGCGGGAGGCTTACCAGCGCGAGCAGAACGACGAGAAGGTATGGGAGGTCCATGCCACTCCGGCCGACCTCAAAGGCGACCACGTCGCGGTCTGCGGAGCAGTCGCCCGTTTCTGCTCCATTGCCGTTGGCGCGTCTTTTACGGATCGTGGCATGCGCAACGACGCACACGATGCGGTGGCGGTTGTGCTCACTCTCCCTGGTGCTATTCAGCCTGGGGAGAGCAAGAGGCGGAAAATTGTCGTCGAAAACGTCTCCGACGCCGACGTCAGCGTACAGGCGGACCGCGAGTCTTCTGTGCATTGGGATCGGTCGCCGAGTTCTGCTCCTCCGCTTTCACCGACTTCACCGGGTGATCCCGACTACGTCGAGGATGTCGTTCAGAATCGCGCGGACGACTTGCACAGGGAGCTGAGGAAGCTTTGGGACGACAGGTACGACGAGGAGTACGATCCGAAAGTCCTCCATCATCTCAGTCTCTTGCTTTTCAAAAAGAGGAAGTCCACGGAGCCAGCGGACACTGATCCAGCTGGCGCTCCTCAGCCTGGCTCGGAATATGACACGGCCTTTGCGTCTCAGGAGGAGACTGGCCGAGCCATTCTCTCTGTCCTTAAGCTTCGACATGACTTTCTGCGGAGCAAGAACATCGACGACATGCGCTACGTTCTCACGGAGCCTGAGCGCCAGGAATTGGTCAGAGTAGCTCGCGACCAGTACGAGCAGTCGCGGCAGCAGCGTGCGCTTCAGGAACGGGATATCGAAAAGGGAAAAGCGAAAGGCAAGTCTGCGCCACAAGGGGGCCATGCGGTTCCGCAGGGTCCGAACAAAGGGCCAGGCGGTAAGAAAGGTTCTCACGGTGCTTCTCAGCCTGCGGGAAAAGGTGGCCAGGCCAAGGGTGCAGGTCTGGGTAGCGTCGCCAAGTTTGTGAAAGACCAGAAGCGTAAGCGGTGGCATCGCCATTTGCAACGTGTGGCCGGTACTAAACAGATCTGGGAGGTGCTGGCCTTCTCAGGGCGCTTCGACGTTGATTGGTTAACGCAAGCGTTGCAAGCTGATCACAGTGAGGGCCGCGATGCAGCAGTTCCCGAGGAAGCTCTGCGGCAACAGCGGCGCCGGCTGCACCACCAGAAGGCCGAGGCCATCGCGCGCTACAACGAGGGGGAGCGGCTTTCCCTATATCTGTCTGCCCAGGCTGGCCAGGCAAAGCCGAACTTCACGCGCAGGCAGCAGGACGTGTTGCAGATGTTTGAGAGCGGAGCGCTGCTTCAAATCCGCAACCAAGCGATTCTGGCGTGCGGGCACGGCCGTCTGTTCAGGGGCGATGGCGACTACCTGGACATCGGCGGCAGCACGGGCGGTGGCTCCAGGCGCATCATCGATTCTTGGCAGCCGCCGGACTGGCGTGACTTCCTCCAAGACGATCAGGACATCTGAGTTTTGCAAGTCTCTCTGCCCGCGGTGCTTCTCAGCCTGCGGTCTGCCGCTCTCCAGCTGCGGTCTCGAGCAGTAGTGTTCGAAAGCATGCGAGTTCCTGCGGTGCTTCTCAGCCTGCAGGTTTCGCAGCCTGCGCTCTGCAGTACAAGTGCTTTTCAGCATGCGACATCCTGCGGTGCTTCTCAGCCTGCAGGGTTCGCAACGTGCGGTTTGCAATGCATTCCTTTTCAGTATGCGAGTTCCTGCGGTGTTTCTCAGGCTGCAGGGCTCCGAGGCTCTTCGCTTCGATGCCATTGTTTTCAGACACCGTAGCTCCGTTCCGTAAACGTCTTCCAAGAGCCGCTCGCAACCTTTTGCAGCTGGCTGTCTGCACGCTTCGCCGGCTTTTGCTGCGCGGACACTTTTCACACACACGTCAGCGCCGTTTGTAGGCGTCAGAAAAACATGTAGACATTCACGAAGGGCTCAGTCTGTATATCGTCACATCATTACATACGCAGTCGTCGAACACATCGGTGTACATTCAGCGCTTTGTCCTTCTAGCTGGGTTGCTTCGTGCTGAGGCTGAGGCTGATGCAGGCTGAGGCTGAGGCAGGCTGAGGCTGAGGCCGAGGCTGACGGCAGACTGAGGCTGAGGCTGAAGCAGGCTGAGGCTGAGGCAGAGGCAGGCTGAGGCTGAGGCTGAAGCTGAGGCAGGCTGATGCTGAGGCAGGCTGAGGCTGAGGCTGAGGCTGATGCAGGCTGAGGTTGAGGCAGTCTGAGGCTGAGGCCGAA